AATGAATGTTTCTTTCTAAATTTATGAATTATATACGCAAAAGTATTACAATACAAAAAAATACTAATTTTGATTTGTTCATTAATATGATTTACCTGCAAAGATTTCACAATATTATTAAACTTCTCTCGAATGGCCGGCGAACTGACTGGAAGTTGCATGGCTCCGGCAAGTTCATGTGCGGTTTGATCTTGAGCTCCCTCATAAAGTAGCACTAATGCTAATTTTATGGATATTGGCGACAATAATATATTTCCTCCATTTGTCTTGCTTAGACTCTGAAGAAACAATAAAATTAGAGCATCGACATTAATAGTGTAATTAATAAATTTAATTACATGAAATTAGCATTTTAAAGCGGTTTAGAACGCTAAAATTTAAAACGGCTTTAAAAAACTTACACATCTAAAAGATCTACTTTACATCTTATATATTTAACATTTAAACAATACACTTAAGTATGGCATATCCAGCCAAATCCGATTGTTTATAATTTTCATAAAAATGAATATATAATATAAATAATTTTTTTTCAATCGAAAAGCTAAACATTAAGAAATAATATAATGATGTCGAACAAATGCATGTATCTTTATTAATAAAATAGTTATAAACGATAAAAAAAACAATGGAAAAAGAAAATTAAGTATACCATATTGAAAAGACATATTTAAGGAGATTCTAAAGTCGTCTGTATTACTGACTAAACCGTATAATTTTTGTATAACAATTACCTTTTTTCTCTTTTATTGATTCGAAAATCCTTTTCCAGGATTAAAGTATACGCATTAATACATGTCTGTGAGGTGAAGTTTATGTTGAGAACGAAAAAAAATTTCGAAATTGAGATCTTCTTTATCATTTCTTAATCCAATATAACGTTTCAGAGCTGTCATGTCGTGATTTGCTTCATATAAAAGTTGTGTGCAATCTTCATATAAAAGTTGATGTTCAATCTGTACGAAATCTTACGAAATAGTAATCTATAGACTATATAGTAGTTTGCACGAAGAAACAATGTAAAATTCTTAAAATTGGACTTAGACGTCTAATTAAAACGTTATTGTTATACGAAAATTTATGTATGTGCACGTGCATGAGATATTGATGTAGTATGTATATAGTGATATATCGATAACATCCCAGCAAACGAGAATGGATTAAAATGCATTGAAATTTTTTTCTATCTGAATGCGTATTTTATATATATATATATATATGTGTGTTGTGCACAGAAAAAGCTAATATTGTTTTAGATTGAAAGGCATAGAAATATGCTCCATACAATTCCTATAAATGAATAAAAATGCATTCAGGGTTGAAAAGCATTCATTTTAACATTCGTGAATCAATATTTCTGAAAATCTGTATCCATTTCGATTCATTTCAATCCATTCTCGTTTGCTGGGACATGTGCGTGCGGTATTGATGTAGTATAGTATAATACGTATATGTAATAATACATATGTGTGTAAGTTTAGTGAGTCATAAAACAGATGATTTTAGAATTCCATTAAGGATTAATTCGATTAGATAATTAATTTTTATTTTTTAGATATATAAGATTAGATATATAAGACGTAATCATTACTATATAAAGAGCATTCTATGAAAAGTACCCTAAATAGCATCCAATCGAATACAGTGAAACGTTCACCCTGGTAGGGCACAAAATCTTCATCATCTTCAACTTGAGGACTAATTTGTAAAGAAATGTTTGTTTGAGCGGGATTTTGTGCCACCGCGTAGATGTCTTCCTTTATAAAATCCACCGCAATTAAGAGGCATAATAAATAACCTGTAATTAAGATTTCTTTATTTATAATTTACAATGTAAAGAGGATCTTATCATTAATAACCGATTCTTTCATTTATAAATTATCTGTGCAATTTAAAATCAATCTTTGCTTAACGGAATGATTTATCGTGTTTTTATTAAATATCCTTGAAAATAAAAAACTTTTATATATTATATGTATATGCAGGATTAGTAAGTAACACATTACTTGTGTAACATCGTTACCGTTACAAGTTACTTTTTTCGATAATGAATGGATAACAACATTACATTTACTTTTAAATAACATTCATGGTAACGCGGTTATACTTTGAGGGTGATAACAATTTCACTAGTTTAAATTAAACTTTTACAAATATTTATTATTTGTGTAAATAATATTTTATTAGTTTTATTAATGTTTTATTAATATATATTAGGTGTTGGAATTAATTCGTAGCGTTTT